AATCGTGGACACTCCCACATCAAGAATGCTGCTCCTCGACTCTTCTCGTATGTCAATCTTTTTCTTTTGTGTTCGTTCATTGTTACCCATCATTTTACTCTTCGTTTAAATGCTATTTATGTTTTGGGTTCATGCAGAAAATGTGCATAGCATTGTTTACAAGCACCAGAAATGGACTGCTTCCTACTGGGTATGTGCATTTCAATAATTCAATGTGTTTATTCTAAGTGCTCCTAGAAATTCTGTGGTTTCAGACATTTGATAAGACTTTGCATGTGACATAGTGCTATTGAATTTGAATCTATAATGTAAGAAAGTCATTGTATTGGTTGCTGCATTGTGCAGGATGAGTTTGCTAGCTTGCCTGCTATTGTTCCAGAAGGTCCTATTGCCATCCTTGGCTTGGTAATTCATTTCATTTTGGACTCATGTGGTAAAATACCTTTTGTACCATAAACATTTGTGATTTCCTGACTAAAAGTATTTGTTCAAGCCAGGGTGGTGGAACAGCTGCTCATCTGATGCTCGACTTGTGGCCGTCTCTGCAGCTTGAAGGTTGGGAGATTGATCACATTGTGAGTGTCCTATGGTCAAATGGGTTAATCCTCTTGCATATTTGCAATGTGCCAGTTCTAGTAACCCTTTACTTCTGCTAATTGAAAAGCATTGGACTTGAGTTCTTTAAATAATTCAGAGAACTGCATTTGATGATTTGCATCTTCCTCTTTGCTTCACAGGTTAATGATTTACCTCACCTTTAACTTCTAAAAATCTGAATGTAATATATGACTAGGTACTAAGTTTAGACAATCTTTATAATTAGATTACTTGAATTATGCACATATAATTATAGCTTATTCGGTACGTTGAATTATTATCATGTGGTAGCTTAAAGAACACATTGGGACTATTGACCAAAGTACTCAAAACCGCAATGCTAATATTGATCTTTTGAGCCCCATATAATACATGATAACTCCCAAGGCATGTCATTGCTTTATTGCAGTGTGAAGTGTTATCTACCAAGACAACTCAACCACTAAGCATTTCTATGTGCTTTATCCTATTTCAGTTATGATGTAATTTGGACCGTGGCTGCAACTTTAGTGTGGCAATGCCAAGAAGGGCTCTAACATTATCTTATATAGCATTCCTAGTGCAATTTATAGGTCATGGAATCTACAAAACATTACCAATGGAATCAAAGTCATGTTGAAGGTGTTGGCCTGCTAGGTCAGTGATTTTCCCCCTTGTCTTGGAGAGAAAATGTAAGGCAGCTGAAGGGTCACCTCTGTTTCTTTAACTTGTTTTGGAAGATTATGTATTCAAGCAGTCATCAATATCTAAGGTCTTAACCCCTACCAGCACCTTATAATCTTTAATACATTCTTTCTGGAATAAATACAATCAATTGAACGTTATGCTGAAGTTTATTTAGCCACAAGAAAAATTGTATTTGAAACTTTATAAGTTATGGACAGAAGCCTTATCTCAAACAGCCAAAGTATCATATGCTGAATTTTATTTAGCCACAACAATTGTATTTGAAACTTTATAAGTTATGGACAGAAGTCTTGTCTCAAACAGCCAAGAAGTAGGACAAATTGCTCAAAATAAAAAGAAGTCAGCCACACAAGGTCAACAGCATTTGAATTAGCAGTGTAAAAGTCGCTGACCAGAAAAAATCACTTAAGAAAAAGAAAAAATTTGGTCTACAGTCCATTTCTTGAAATGTTTACCTTGAGAAGGTGTGCTGTCTCATCTGTTTAGCTCTTAAGACTAGAGTCACTAAGCAGCACTGTTTACTGAATCTGTACTTGGAGGTATGATTAGCAAGGTTAAAATACTATACAAGGTGTAATAAATGTTTTATAAGATATTAGAGGGTTCCAATTTTCAGTAATGTCATTTGTTTTATCTTAGTTAAATCTTTTTTGCATTAGTTATGATCTGTATCCTTACTGAATATTTTAAATATTTTTAGTTGATTGATAAAGCAAGAGAGTATTTTGGGCTGTCTGATCTTGAGAAGCCTACTCAAGCTGGTGGCATACTTAACGTTCACATTGGTGATGCCCTTTCTCCTTCGGTTAATATTTCTGGAGGGTATGCCGGTGAGTTCCTTGTCTACATGTCTTTAAATTACCTGGCCCACCTTTGGAATGCGTGGATGGTCAAATTCAAGGATTTGTTTTTGTAATTTTCGTGCTCTTGTGTATACTTCCTGAATACATTGGTTATGCCTCATTTTCACAATTTCTTGCAGTTCTTTCCCTGCTGTGTTGCTAACTTGTTCTTGCAGTAAATATCAGGCATTGTTATTGACTTGTTTTCTGATGGAAAAGTTTTGCCACAGTTGCAAGAGGTATGAAGAGTGCTATCTTCCATGAATAGTTGGTGCCTTGCCTTTTCATATTGTTTCATGGTATTAGAGGTTTGAACTATTTCTTCAATTGTTTACTTCTATTATCTTCTCCAATAAATACACCATCTCATGTGATCATCTTGTCTTCAAGCCACATTTTACACAGTGATATCTGAAAACATATGTAGTATCCATTTGAACAATCTCACTCTGAGTCTGGTCAGAAAGCCAGAAGAAAATTTGAAAGAGTGGTGAAAAAAAAATGCCATGAGAAGTTATGCAGAGAATGCAGTTGTTAAACCAAGGTATAATGGGAGGACCGAAGAAATAAGGGTAGAGAAACACCTATGAATTTAGACCCAAAAGAGCACCTCCTACTCATCTTGAATGTGCACAAGAAATCCTTGAGTGCCATTCAGAATACTGCTTTGCTTGGTCAGAGAAAACACTCCCTGTGAGCATGAATGTGAAATTGGAAAAGTCAGAAAGCACCCATAAGACACAACCATCTTCTGACAAAAGTTCAAGGGAACTGATGTTAATTTTTTTATAGCTAAAGTAAGGGAAGTAGCAATTAAATAAAGCTCAGTTTTTTAGTTTCTTCCTAGCAACTATCCTCCAGGGCAAGACCTTGTTCAAATTTCCCTTCACAAGAAACTTGGACAACTGTATTGCTCTCTCTTACTTTTGGATCCTCTTCCTGTGATCTACAGTCAACCAATTTCACCTACCCTTGTTGTCCTTTCAATGAAGGATTAAAATTATGCTACAGCTTCTTAAAGCTAAAACGTTAAGAGCTGAGTCATAAAGCATCTAAAGTTTAAAGTCCATTAAATTGCATCTATAATCAAAATCAATCGTCTCAAGCAGTTAAGTACTGCAGAAGTCTGACTTAAGGGTTTAATACAGCTAAAAAAGATTGAAACCAACAAGATTCCAGTTAATTATGTATGTCCAAGTTACATGTTAAGTCAGGCCTAGTAAGTAATAATCGGGAACTTATAATTTGTACAACCTAGTAAGTTTTAGAGGTCTATGTACCTCCATGAGGTAGCTAGTTGTATCTTAGCTATTATTCCCATATCTGTCCCTTTCTTTTTTTAATTTATCCAGAACCAGAATGCTGTGCTGTATCCAATTTCCTGTGTCTTGATATTTTCCTTGTCCTCCATTTTGACCGCATCACACGTTATCACGCGTTTAAAATAAATTTCATATATGATTTTTTATGTAGGTTACAACTTGGTTGGAATTAAAGGATCAGCTGATGCCCAATGGCCGTCTAATGGTGAACTGTGGTGGCGTAGATGGAGCATCTGATGCCAGAGATGGAACAGCTCATCCAAAAAATATCTCCAGTGACGACAGTTGGCTACAAAATTCTACTATCAAGGCATTATCTAAAGCATTCCCTGGACAAGTAGGCCTTGTTTTCTTGCTTGATACTCTTGTGGTTATGATTTCCAGCTTGCAACATCTAATTAATTTTTAAACTTAGCCTAATTTGCAATTTTTTG